CTGGACCTCTGCCACCAAGCCAATCCTCCCGCCTCTTCCTCCTGCGGCCCTCCCAAGCAACTCAAGGCTCCTTCGCAGAACAAAGCCGGCTGCTCGTGACACGGAATTACGACCGGAGTTTCAGTAGTTTCTATTAAAAAATAAGGGCTGAAACTAAGCCATAGCATCTGTGGACTCGGACACAAACATGTTAAAAATAAAATTGAGCTGACTAAAAAAGCAACTCTGAAAAAGAAATGGCTGCAGAAAAGACACCACTTAATCCCCCTTCAGCGCTCCCCTTAAAAGGTCTGCCTGACTAGAGGCTTGCTAGTCACTGCCACCCGAGCACAGAGAGCTTATGAACGGGGAGGAACTGCTCTATGTTATTAGCTGCAAGATATTAATTTTGCTGTTATCTTGATTTCGGGTCCTTTCACAGTCTTTTGCCAGTTTCTCTCCGTTTGTTGGGCACTGCTGTTTTCCCAGACTGCAAGGTCTCTAGACAGGGTGATTTGTTTGTGCAGTGCCTAACACAAAGGCACCATTATCCTTCACCGAAGCTCAGGTGCTCATGTAATGAAAACCCATTACAATATTGCTTTTAAGGTGGTCAAAAGTTCTCACAGCATATTCTGACAGTACACCTTACTTAAAATTCACAGACAACTTTGGAGTAATTAAAAGTATTTCGCTTCTGTGGAAAAGAGAATAAAAAATGAAGATACAATTCTTTAACCTGCTTGTTTTATGACCTGAGAGCTCAATGGAGTATAAGGAAAATATCAACAGGGAAATATTTTTTCTTTTGATTTCTTTCTCCCTTTTCCCTCCGCACACTATCTTCTGATTCATATTTCTTACTCTTACTGTACTTTTATCTTGTCCCTCTGTGTCCCTGAAAAGTTTTTTTTGTCAGAGAGTCAACACTTAAAGGAGAATTTCTAGTTGAGCATTAGCTAGAAAAAATCCGAAGGGAAAAAAAAAAAAAAATTGAGCTCTGAGATCTCAATTCTGACCCCCTAATATTGACTTTTCTACAAAGAATCTGGTATATGAAGCTTTGTACGTAAACAAACATCATTCCTTCTGCTTCCAGTGCTACATGTTTACTTATCGGACTGATACATTTAAAAACACCTAGTGATACTGAGTATTAGAAGGTAAGTTTCTGTTCAAGCTCTGAAATTAATTCCACAAATGTTACAGTTTATACCATCATAAGTACTGATGAAGGCAAAGTTAATATAATACACCAAATAGCTCCTCTAATGAGAACTTAAGTGATTTTCATACTAGAAAAGAAGTGCTCTAATATAATTCCAGCTCATATTGAACTGCAGAGGGGTATCTCCTTTGAATAAGACACATGACAGTGATGAAAAGGAAGTTAAAAATCCCTACAGTGAGAATTATTTGATATCCTCAAAGCAAGTTTCTATTTGACTCTTTGTTGAGTGGACACTGGGGGCTTCTTAACATCTTCCAAAGGGCTCTTCCAAACGTACATCATCCAGCATTTGAAGCATTTCACGTGTGTTTGAAATAACATAGAAAAGAATTTATTAAAAATTTCTGGAAGGCAGCTTTTCCTTTTAGACACCAAGCCTCAAAAAAGGCATATAGGGTAAACCTGACTGCTTTTATCAGAAATGGATTAAAGTTGAATTTGACCTAATTAATGCCTATAACAATTTAAAAAAAAAGCCTTATAATATTTTAAAAGGGTAAAATATTGAACATACTTCTGAAATTCCTCAAATTCTGGGATTTTTACATTTACACCTTAATATTTTATCTTAAATATAGCTAGTAATACTAAAATAAACAATCAAGACTGTTAATCTGTGGTATAATTTTAAAAGCATTTTTATTAATTGCTAATTTAATAATCCGTTTTGGATACAGGTCTGTGCAGCAGAGGCTGGTAGCTGTTTCCCTGACACAGCAGCTTTCTCTCCACCACACAATTTTGTGATCTGGTATCTTTTGAAAAATGCTGCTATTACACCTAAAACACCTCAGTACAAATGCCTCAAAAACCCAAAGGCTGAGTCAGGAAGGCCAATGTAAATTCAGGCTCAGAGAAGCAACATTTAACCCAATTTTTAGATTTTTTCTTTGTACACCAAACTGCCATGATAGATATAGGAAGACTACACAGATTATTAAAGAGGACTTTTAGACAAAAAAAGATATCAGGAATATAAAGCAAAACAGTGGTTGGTCTTGTTGATGACTGTGTGGACATCTGTCACAGGTCAAACTACCAGCCAAACCTGTCACACCCAGCAGGGAGCTATGAAGAGGAGTGTGGTCTGGTTTCATTTGGCTGAGCAAACATTTGGGGAATAAACAATACAGGAAGAACAGCACACGACTCAAAGTTGCGCTGAAAAGAAAAGTAACTGGCTGAGAGTCATGGTTTCTAGCTCTTTGGAATGGAAACCTGGACACTTAATGGTTTTTGGGGTGAGAAAAGATCTAGCTGGAGAGTTCTTCCACTAATGGAATGGAAACCTACAGCAAGCACGCATTGCTGGGGACACCTGCCAGGTCTGAAACACAGAAGGTTTTACAGACCAGCATGCGGTGAGGTTATGCCGCATGGGCAGAACCACCTTTGCATTACACATTAGCAAAACAAAAAAAGGCACTTCCTCCTGGATTTTTTTGTGTAGTAGTAGTGATTGTTACGAAACAGACAAGATCACCACCCTCACATTCACCTAAGGCATTGCAGGAATTTTTGAATGTTACTATCTGAATAATTAATAAATTATTAAAGTATCAGTTTGGTAAAAAAGCAGTCACAAACCAATACTGGTCCTCAGGTTACAGTGGGATAGAAGCAAGTTCTCTTATCCTGAAACCATACCAATCCAGTCAGCCTAGAATTTAGCAACTGTCTGAAGTGGAAGCTTCTTCCTCAGTGCTCTTCCAGAATCTGTTCCAGGTGATCTGGCTCTTAGACAGTCAGCGCTGCTGACTCTGCCAGTACAGCAGTCCCTTAGTTCACATAATGCCATGGCCTTGCTTCCACTGGTTGATACTAAAGGCAGTTCTGAAAACTTGAGAGGTGGGAAGGGTTGTGCCATCCTCACTAGGTGAGTCCAGTATGCACTCACAAATGAAGTTAATGTAATCTTTATGCCTGATGTTGCCTGACTAGGTGTCGGGTGTGTTTGCCTTTGACTCAGTGCCAGTAGCACAGTTAGCACACTAAAAGAGAGGAAACACGAATCTGCAATTTTGTTACCCATACCGGTAGTTGTGGGACTGTTTCAGAGAGATTCTCAGCTGAAAAACCAAAGGAATAGCCCATGGTCACAGCTGCACTACAACTGATGCACTTTCAAAAACATCTTTTCAAGAAATAAACATTGTTTTCATGGACTGTTCAGAAAGCTGAACTCTGTTCTTCACCTAAAATTGAAGGGAAGGAACAGCAAACAGAATGCTTCAGAGACATCCCTTCTTAAAGAGGAGCCACGTACGCTGTGCCTTGTAACCTAATGGTCTCAAACTACAGCTTTTAAATAGCTTTCTATAGACTCAAAGGGGTGACTCCCCCTATCCACACATCCTGTCCCCTCAATCTTTTCAGAACTAGGGCTTATATACATGAATGGGATCCAGTAATTCCGTCAAGTTAGCAAAGCAGAGCAGTAATAGCTAATGCGGTATGCTGTCATTTAATGCGTTACATATATTTATAGAAGTAGTTGCGTATACGCTACCCTTTAGTTACTTAGGTGACCAGTGTTCAGAAAGGTTCTTTAACAGTATGCTAGCTTCACTTTTGTGTCTCAACTAGTTTTCACTATGAGCCATCCCTATATTCAAGCCTTCCTACTTACACAGTTTTCGGTCTTCTCTGTATTCTTTATGACTGTCAGAAAAAGGGTAGTCACTGAGCACACACTACTGACCACACTAAATCAGGAATCAGTTGTTCAGCTCTAAGTATAATGTGACATCCTCTTTCTAAAATAGCATGAAGATTTTCTTTCATGCACATTTCTGGGCTCTTTTTTTGGTCCACAGCATATTTCAAGAAAAGCCTGCCTGAGGAAACAAACTAAAACCAACAGAGAAGCTGCCACAGAAACTTATTGGAAGGCATTAAAAATTAAATAGCTTTTTAAAGAGCTCTCAGACTTAATAGTAAAACCTATCAAAATTGTCTATACTGATTTAATTTGTAACAATTCCATTTCAGACAACTTTGCTTGGCTGTTAGATAGGAGTTCAAAGTGAAAATGACATTTTTTCCCCCCTACTAATACCCGTACACTTCTCTCATCTCAAAGACTTGGCAGGGGGACGGGGAGAAAATGACCACCACTATTTGAAGTGGTGGTCGTAAGATCCAGATGAATTCAGACTGCAGGAGAAGCATGCTCCAAAACAAGTGTCCTCCTACAGAACCCTCTTGGCAGATACTGTCCTGACAACCAAATTAATAACCTCTAAGCACAAGAGCCTTGACCGTTATTCTTACACTGTTCATACCAGTCTCTCAGATAAACAGATGAATCTTAAGATGTTCAACGTCAAAGGGGCGACATCAGTGAGGCTCAGATGCTACCAAAAAATCATCCAATGCAATAAGCATAACTGGAGCATGCTTATGCAAACATATTCAATCTTCACCTCACATCCCCCAAATAATTCTCCTCACCAGTTTTGTTTACCAAACAGGTTTAAAGGCATAATGCAGCAGCTTGAGTGAAAGCAGAAACGTATGAGGGGTGGAAATTTACTTTCAGAGTATATTATGGAACATATACCAACATCTTTACTCAAATGAGTTGAAGTGCTAAGTTTCGTATGTGTAATGTCACTGAAGTCAATGGAGTTACACACGTGAAACTGAAAGGTGAGCAAGTACTCACTAAAGACAACATTTACACTCTTGCACTTTTGAGTCTTTTGTCAACAATAGGAGCTCACATATTGTAACACATTTTTGTTTCTCTAAATTAATTAATGAACAAATATATTTTGCAATAACATACCTTGAAGTTGCAATTTCCACTTTGGTTCTTGCCATGGCAGCTGCTCTTTGTGCACCCTCTATTGCTCTATCCACCTTTTCTCTAGTTTTTGTGTTTCGTATTGGTATAAGTTGCTTTCTTATTCCACGGACCAAAACATTATTTTTATATTTTCCCTCTTCTTTGGTGCCATCTGGAAACATGGTACATCCATATCCATGCCTCCTGTTATTTAGCCATTCTCCTTCATATTTCATACCATTTGAACGCTCACTAATACCAAAACCACTGCGCTTGTCATTCTTCCATTCACCCATATAGGTTTCTGTAGTGGTGGCATCAACATGGTCTTCCATAGGGCAATAATCACAGTCACCGTCTCCAAAACTAATTGTAGAGTTGGCATCGCTAGAACTAATTCTGCTCATAGCAGCATCACTCCTGACAGAGCTCCGTTTGCTAGATATCGATGACCTAGATTCAGATTTTCTAAGTTTTATACTACCAAGAAGGGATCCTCTTCTGAATAAGCCTCCTTTTTTCTTAATGCCCATAGCTTCTGGATCACTGTGAAAATTGAGCACAAAACCTCCTCTTGTTCCAGCTGGACTGTCTGAAGTGACGTCATGCAGAACAGTGCCGTTGCTCTGCTCACTTCGAAGTGAAGCTAGAGATGTTCGGAGGGGTGAACGGATCACAGTTGCCATGCCATAGGGTACACTCTGACGTACACCATATCCATGTCGCATCCCTCCTGTCCATTGTCCCTGGTAGGTACCTTTTAAAGTATAAGGAGAAATTAAATTTAGGAAGCTGTAGAAGACCTAGTACTCTACATCCAGTATGCTACAGGCAATACTATGTTGTCAGCTCTGGTTTTGGTAAGAAGAAATGCAGAAAAATCACAACACAGGACACAGCAGATAATTCATATGAAAAACAAGCAACAGAAGTAGTTTGTTTTTCTGCTTATCAAAGGCTTCACTTTCCCAGCTGAAGTAATTTATTTTGGCAACTAAGACACAGTAGCTATAATCATAAGCATTTTTTGAATGGATCTGTCCATGAAAAAATTTTCAAGAGAAATTTGCAAAGCAGGAGTCCCTCAACATTTTACTAAGGTGGTCAGATTGGGAGGTGGTCAGCAGAAGCAGAGCCACATTATATGCAGTCAGCTGGGGAGGGAGACAGGGATGGAGGGAAGGGAGAGAACAGGACACTCGTGGCTTTTGCCTCCAGCTGCTCACAGAGCGAGCAAGTAGGAGTAGTAAACATCCTGTTATCCTGGGTCTAAGGTGACTCCAGACTTCTCCTTGTCAGGACATATTTGACAATCCACTAAATCGCCTTGTTTTCAGATGGGCCTTTGGATCCACTGTTATAATCCTCTATTGTAAAATTAAATATTTTGAAGTTTTTGCATGTACTTGAATGGAAGAACAAAACCTCGGTATATCTTACTCTTTATGAACTCTTGATGTCAACGCTTTTTGATACCCCCAGTATTGCAAACATGGCACTGCATTCTGCATTATACTGTGACACAAAAATCAGAAACATGAGTTCTTTAGCACTTTTTTGCCTCTCATTTGCTCTGCAGTACGTAAGAAAAGCAGTAATAAACAGAATACTGCACACTGTTCTAACATAAACACATTTCATTGTTGCAATCATAACTATTTTTGTAATTTTTTAAAACAGCATTATAAGGAAAAGCAACAAGGTATTTGATACAAGAAGTCATGGATACCCATGTAATGGAGTACATGCAAAGCTGTGTCTGAGCCAAACCCCAGCATTATCAGATTACTACTGCAGACAATTTTTTTCTTGTATTCTCAAAAGGCATTTTCTTTTTGATGAGATACATACTCCAGTGTCTGGTCTCTGAAAGCCATTTGTACCAGATGTTCCAAGGGAAGGTGCCAGGAACCTCACAACTGGCAAATACAAGATAACTTGCTTTCTAAGATCATTTCACTCTAATTCCCATTAAACTGCTTTAAGCTCCTCAAAATGAAGACTCTCGCCCACCTAGTGCTGTTTCTTTTTTTTTAAAGCTATTTTGAGTCTGAATATTCTTACAGAAGGATGAATAAGCAATCTTTAAAATATCTTTCTCTGATTTTTATCTGCTTTAATTGGTGCACCTATTAAAAACTATTCTTCAGAGAACTAAATATCAAATGTCAAATTCAGCGACTGCCTAAATTTTTGTGAAAATATCTGTGAAATACCCACAGGTTTCGATGTAACTTAAAGCTTCATTTGCTTTGAGATTCGATCTCCTTTGTATAAGCATACTATTTTGGTTGTGTCGATGTCAATTATCTACCAGTTACTGCTTTACTATATTACCTCTTCTGCTAAGATATATTTCAATGTTGACATGCAATTAAATTTGCCAAGTGCACATTCTTTATTGTATAATACTAGATAGGTTCCACAACACAACTATTTTGTGTTGGTAGAAAATTCTACCAAGTGGAAGGTTTTTGTTTTAACAGATGGCTGCTGACACAAACAAACAACTTTCTTAGTTTCTTTCTCATTCTCTGTATCCTGGATACATACTGCTGCACTGGTTGTAAGGGTGCTGAATCCAGAAACATGATTATTTTAAAAAACTCAGCATATGGAGAAGAACAAATAGAAACATGAGCACGAAGCACTGGTATGACGTATTCAGTAAATACTGCAAAAATACAGCCACGTTGTAATTTTTTTCTTTATTAAACAGACATTTCCCAGAATTATATTAATATTTTATGAGCGTAAATGACTACATATTGTCCATAATTATATCTGGGATCCCCCTAGTATCACAGTGATATGCTGGAGCTAAGAATCTGGCTACGTATACTTACTGCTACATATGACAATCTGTCTAACATTCTGCACCAGTTAATTTCATTTAAAAATAAATCTAATTCTAATTTTGATTATACCACAATATTACATTAGAGCAGCAACTTGAAATCATGGCTCCCCATGTTGCTATTTGAGCATCAGACTTGAAGAAGAATCAACTTATTTCAGTATGGAATTTTATATAAGTACAAAAGTTCAGCCTTTTTTCTTACTAATATTTTGTTTTAATTCTAAATATGCAAAGCTCAAAAATACTTAATTCATTTAGGACGTATATTTTTCACTATTCTGTAGAATGAAGTGGAAGTGGTCGCTGTTGCCCATAAGGGCATTAAACCAAGGACAACTGATGTGCTATTTACTTGTCTGATTTTTCTTTCTACTGGGGAAATAAACTCAATGACAGCTACTTCTAAAGAGAAAATAGTCAATGAGAAAATGGGAGATTCATAGTGATTGGTCCTTAGAAAGTACCAAAGCTATTTAGTTGGAATTTTGTGCAGTCTTGCAGGTAACAACTATCTCTTCTTTCATTACAAATCCATTAAGGGAAAGGCTTCTGACATTAGTTCTAGAAAGCTGACTCATTTTCCTGGATTTTTTCAACTTGCATTTTAAAGGAAAAATATTTTAATGGCAGATGGAGGACAGTGTCCAGAATACAGATACAAGAGACTTGTACAGTAATTTGATTGACGATATCAGACTCTAACCGTATCATCTTCTTCAACTGAAGAAATTTTAGAAGACTTTAAATGAGCAAGATAAGGGATGTTAATATTGCAATATAATTAAATCTACAGCATATAAGACATGATAAAAAAGCTTTTCCCATATATGAAGATACAAATGTATGCAATGTTTACCTATCTCTCTACATAGATATACATCATAGAATCACTAAGGTTGGAAAAAACCTCCAAGATCATCAAGTCCAACCGTCAAACCAACACCACCATGCCTACTAAACCATGTCCTGAAGTGCCACATCTACACGTTTTTTTGAACACCTCCAGGGGTAGTGACTCCACTATTTCCCTGGGCAGCCTGTTCCAATGCTTGTCAACCCTTTCAGTAAAGAATTTTTTCCTAATACCCAATCAAAACTTCCCCTGATGCAACTTGAGGCCATTTCCTCTTGTGCTATCACCCTTTACCTGGGAGAAGAGACCAACACCCACCTGGCTACAGCCTCCTGTCAGGCAGTTGTAGAGGGTGATAAGGTCTCCCCTCAGCCTCCTTTTCTCCAGACTAGACAACCCCAGTTCCCTCAGCAGCTCCCTATAACACTTGTGCTCCAAATATGAATATCAACAAACACACCTTTTCCTGTTTCACCTTATACTACTATAATTGACTGCTCAAAGCAATTCCAGTAAGTGTCAACTGTTACAATTTTAATTAACAATGTAATTACCAAGCTAATTTAGACCTGTATTTGACCATAAAAAATAACTTTGTTCAGCATTAATTTTCCAAAAGCTAGGTTTGGTGTAACTGGAGAAACACTCAGCCACAACTTCTACTGACCACCCACCTGGTGTTTGACTGGTTCCCCTGAAAAGGTGTTCATATTTTGAGCCTGAGAACTATTAGAAAGTGTATTTTTTTGTTTTGTTTTTGTTGGCAAGCTGCTGTAAGGTATCATTTCCTAACCTGTCTCCTTAGACTAACATTGTGTCATCCCTCCCAAAACACCCTCGCTATATCTTACAGCTGTAAATGTCATTGCCTACTTGTAGCTAAAATTTAAAACTATGCTGTGTGAAAAAGCTGAGAGGCCAAGGACATATTTACTACTCCACTTGCTCTTATCCTTTCCTTACATCTTCTGCGGTTTAACAAATTTGTTGTTACATCAAGATTGTTGCATGCTTTGCAGACTCAAATGTTAGATAAGCAGACATCTAGAACGAAGACTACTTAGAAATCAATGAACATACGTACTGCTGATGACCTTTGCTTAAGGATTCTTTGCCACTAACTGACCTCTGTGGAACGACAACGCACAACCTCACAGCAAGGTGCCTGTTACTGCTGGTGTTGGCAGGACCATACGCTGCTAACTAATTTACACATACTGAAGTTTCAAATTAGGCCTTAGTGCCTCCGTGAAAAATGCTCCAGTAGGCTCGCAGATTCACAGAGATTCAACAAAATCTCAGGAGTTTAAAGGAGGCACAAAAATCCAGATCCCTGTAGGAAACAACCTGACAGGCCACTTGAAGGCCCAGCATAAGCACATGCAATGAACGGAGGACCATGGTTTATAATTTGCAGTGTTTTCCTCAGAGATTTGACTGAGTGACAATTTTAAGCATTTAAACACAGCATGACATGTATTACTCATGTTGTGCAAAGTGTTGTGTGCAGAAACACGGAGGAATGCTGTCAATGCTTATGCTCCTCTTCCCTCCCTCAACCACCTCTCCTAATACCACCGATGCATCTTAAAACAATATATCGGGGAAAGGAAAAAAAAAAAAATAGCAACGGAGAGGCCTGGATTTTAGTGAGTTTGAAAACAAACTGGAAACTGGCATAGTCTAAACAGTTATTTCCCTATGCTGGTATTCTCAGGTCATAATAAAGAAAGAGCTTTCCTGAGAATATTTCACAGTATGTTAAAGACACATATGTAAATCTGGTTTCCTTGTAAAAACATTTCAGACATTCTTCTGGTGTACAAATGCAGCTATTGTTCCCAGAGCACGAAAACAAAAACACATCTGCAAACATCGATGACGTACTGCTTTGCTTCATTCATGAGCACTTTCACTAAAATCAATGGGACTTCACGGCCTCTGTTCATATGAACGGCAACACGTAAAAGACTGGGGCCAGGGTAACAGATTTCAGTTAAAGGGATCAAAAATCTTACAATGTAAACTGGACGCTTCATATGCTGGTTCAGAGAAGGACTTCCTGTGGGGCGTAAGCCTAAACATTTAGAAAATTCACCTCCAATTATCCATATTATTGAGATTTTAAAGAGATTTTTAAGATTCCGCAAGAAACCTAAAGATAAAAGGAACTTTAATTTGAGAAAATCACTCCTAGATGATTTACTGGAATGGCAATTTACTTTTCTGGAAAGAAAAAAAACCAAACCCAAAACATGGCCACTGCAAAGTCAGCTATTCTTCAGCTTCTTATGTACTAGCCCGAACAAACATAATAAAAATTCAAAAATCTATTGCCTGGTGAAAGCGAAGCTAAATTTCTGATCTCTTTCATGCTTTGTTTTGTTTGTTTGCTTGGTTTTTTAAATCCCCAACACATATCTCCTCTGACTCTGAGCATCAGAACTTTCCACATCAGGAAACAATTTTCAGACAGCTACAAATACGTGTAAACAAGGGGATTAAAAGAGCTCAAGGTACAAAAACCACAGTACAATTTCATTTTCTGAAGGAAATGAATCGTACCCAGCTCGCTACATTTTGGAAAGGAAAAAAAAAAAAAAAAAGGCCCCCAACTGTAAACCCCTCTTCTTCTGCTTAATACAAAAATAGTAGCCATTCTCTGACATGATCCTGCAAGTTTGACCACAGATCTCTTAGAAAATTCCTTGAAGAAACCAGCAACAGCATCAATCGAGAAATCTGATACATGGGTTGGTCCTTTAGTCGCAGTGTGTGAACATTACCTCTGATTTCGGTAAATTGTTTCTTGCATGTCACCTAAGCACGTCGCTCAAAGCTGGAGCGAGCCGCATTTCCGTAAAAAAAAATCCAACCCAACAACTCTCTAGTCTTAAAACCGAGGACAGTTTTTCCTGTTGAATGGAACAAACCGAGTTGAAGAGCAACTGTGGACGAGTTGCAGGTGGGACTTCCACTGACGCCAGCAACATCACAGCAGCAAAGGATGACATCAAAAATATCAGGTGTATTTTTTTGTGCAGTGCATGAAATGGCAGAGGTACAATAACTATAACTGACCACTCAAATACGCTCCAGGCCTATGTGGCCTGATTGAACCTCGACTTCTTGACTGCTCCTAACTTAAGCGGGAGGGCAGACCCTCTCCGCACGCCTACCGGGAGCTCAGCCCCGGACACTTTTGCTCTTGTGCGGTGAAGGGTGTGAGAGGCAGGCCTGTGTAATTTCACAACACAGCTTGTACTTGCAGCCGTGTGTTTAAAACGGCGCTGTATTTTACTAAACCACGAGTTGTTACACGGGGGGTGGACCCAAGTTTCATTGATTTTACGCAAGTTGCGTACCCACTTCATTACCTTTTAGCGTCCTGTTTACAAGCCGAGCATACCGCGTGTGTGAAGCTATCCCTGTCGGACCAGTAACCAGGCACGGGGGCTCGCTGGGCGAGTTCTTGCTGTTTTCACCGGGAAACCGGTACCAGGGGAGCGAGCCAGCGCGCTC